TCCCACTTTTACACTCTGGGATTAGGGCTGTGCGATATGACCAAAATCTCATATCCAGATATAAGACATCTATCGTCCCGATAACAAGATATAAATCACAAAAATTTAACATTTTCTGTAAATTCTGTGAATCTCAGGCAGCTCGACTTGCGTGAAGTGTTTCCAGCTGGGCGTGGTGTACCTGGAGTAGCGTGAAAATATATATTTTTAGACATAAGTTGTAAAGGCCGCCGTTTTCTTTGTGAGTATTTATTGCACGGCGTGCTGCGGGGAAAAGCCTGTTCTAACGTTTGAGTCTAAGGTTTATTTTTTAGCACCTGACGGTCTTTTTTGCTTCTCATCCGTCAATACTCTGCATACTAGTTCACATGATTCAGTTTATTTTGAAAAGTCTCTTGAGCTTTATTGTGAAAGGTTTATGTGGAAACTAAACAAGTGGACACGCGATGGTTTTACCGTAGTTGTTGCTAACGACAACGCATAAAAACAAGTGGTTGTCCGTCTGTAGTGTGGTTATATTAAATATAATAGAAAGAGAGCACTTTAGGACATTAATATAGCCACTACAGCGACCATCAAAACGATGAAAAAATATCGCCATAAACAGTTTATTTTGCGACACCACGAAACAAACGATAGCGTAAAATGAAACAATAGATGTTTTTATATCGTCATCCGATATATATCGTTATATCGAACCGCCCTATCTGGGATAACATAATGTCTCCCACAAGAGAGAAAACCAATAAACAATATTGCAGCCATCTAGTCACAAACAAGAAGGCATCCCTTACAGGAGGGATGGAATTGTGTGTTGCAGTCACAAAGAAAGGTAAATGCCATTCTGTGTGACTATTACAACTCTGGAAAATAGATTCAGAGGCACATTGAGGCGATAAGGACCCACACTGTCTGAGGATCCTTCCTGCTGTGTAGGTTGCATTTGTGTGAAGCTCAGTAGAGCCCCTGCAGAGGTCTGAGGATTCACTGTCACCGGTTTGTTAATAACTTATAACAAAGCCTGCAGGGGCTCTGCCTCAAACCACACACATACACACACGCACCACCTGACATTGATTGTGGGTGTGTGGGTGTGTGTGTGTGTGTGTGTGTGTGTGTAAGAGGGAGACTGTGGTTGTGAGCTTTCACGTGCGAGGCCTAGTATGTCCTGCCAGCCTCTTGTGTTTAGTGGTTTGCGAGCATGTGTTTGTCATAAAATGAACTGCTGATGTCAAACTGAACAGTTTCCTCCAACAGTTTGTGCAAACTGATTGACTCACTAACACTGTGATACAAACACACACACACACACAAACATTTCCTCAGTGGGATTTAACAGTGTGAGTCAGTGTCAACTAACAAGAAGCTCAACCCCAGCCTAACGTGTCGATGGTGTAGGCTCCATCTCTCGCTCTCTCACACACACACTCACACACAAAGATTGCCTCCTTTTAAGTGCAGGAATATTTCTTATTCTCACAGGACTCCATTTTTCCATCTCTTGTTCACAACAGGAAGGAGCTTCTCTCTAATAATGATGTGATGTAATTACCCTGGAATGTACTGCGTGTACAGCACTTCGGAAACTAGTTTGTCCACGAAACAAATGCATAACAGAGATTTCTCAAAAATAAAATGATCAAACCTCTTGTACAACATCAAAACATAACAGGAAAATTTATACTTGAAATAAAACACCATCTAAAAATGTTCAGATGATGCCTGCACATCTCCTAAAGCTGAGTGAACCCTGTGAACACAACAGAAGTCGGTCTCGGGCTGCGATACTGACTGTTTTGTGAGAATCACTAAGCATCTTTATAGACGCATAAATCACTCGGGTCATAAACAAATAGGCTGTCTGCTGACAGCAAGGATCACTGCCAGGAAAACACACACATATGCAAAGTAATCATGTGGACCCTATAAAAGGAGTGGAACAAGTGCAGCGAATTATCATATCTGAGGTTTTTTATTCTCACGAGTCAACCGCACACTGGATGTTGATGTAAACATAAGAGTAAAAAAAATTACGTCTGCATATAAACATACAGTTCAAAGTATGTGCAGTGAGTCAATCTATGAAAACAAGCAGAGATTTATTGAAAGTATTTCTCCCCTTATCTAAAGACGTCACAAACTGTCTTTGGACTCTGCATTTTGAAGTCAGAAAAGACCATATTTGGATAAGAAGATGGTTATCAGCTAAGGCGAGTGGGCTTGGTCAATGAGTCGTATGAACTGCTGAAGAACAATAATAAAATAGTAGAATTTTACACACAAAAGCAAACTTCATGGACGACCTATTTCAATATGGCAGTCAATGGGACCTCGCATTTAGGGCTCGCTTCAAGTGGCCATTAAGGGAACTGCAGTTTCTGGTACTGACTTTATTTTACAGCCTTGTGACTGAAACAAGCTAAAAGGCACACATTATTTAAGGGGGGAGGGGCAAATGCAGAATCGTATTAACCTCCTTCTCAAGTTGCAAAGACATGTCAGATTGTAAAAGGGAAAACGACTGTCTCTCACTTGCTTTATAATCTCATTAAAACATTTTCATGAGTTTAAAGTCTCAAATGTTAGTTGCAAGTCTTATTTAGTATAGCACAATGTTCATTTTCTAAACTTTGGTCCCATTTAGAGCAAAGTAGACAATAAAGCACAGCATGCTTTAGGCCAGACCTACGCTGAGACTGGCAAGTCATGACCACATGAGCACGTAATATCCTTGGTTTCTCAATCAGACCAACTTCTCGCTTGCTGCATCTGGTTTTAGAAAACCATTATGGCAGCTCAAGACTTCAAAATGAGACTACACAGATCGGTGGGTGATCTCCTATGTCCCGCTTTTATATAGTGTGTATGGGATCAACTATAGAATCTGGTGTTATGTACTCTGTATTGCTTAATGAGGGCTCGATCCAGGAAAGTCCGATGTGTCACAATGTGTTGCAGTTTTATTTGGGCAATAAATAAATTAAAGCGGAACCCCGGCGAGTGCAAGCCATTTTTTTTCTTTTGCTTACACCTGCCCATGTTTTAGTGTGGATGTTGTAGATTAAGTAATCTCAGCTCTTTCCAAATCCATATCCCTGGATTTTCTTTTTTTTTGGTAACTTGAGGCAACCCATGAAACTTCACAAATCTCTGTTTTGTGTTTGCACACATCAGAAAAGTACTGTACTGTGTACTGTGGGTTCAGCATTACTGCTTGGTCCCTAGTTAGAGGCTTCTGTGGTATCTTTCTATGCAGAAACCAGAGGTGGAAAATTGTAAGCCCCGCATGCTTACAGTAAATGCCACCGACTTATTCCACATGTGGGGTCCACAAAAGCTACAGTATCCGGCCTCCCACCGGGAAAATCTCACAGAGGAGAATGGAGGGGAGAAAGCTGAAATAGATCTCCGGATTAGTGAACCCTGCTAATGACTGTTTGGGAACAATGACATAAACGTTCTCTGGGAAATATGTGTGTGTGAAAGAGTGACATTAAGACAATGAAGCGTAGTTTTCCCACCCTTTGGGATTTGAGTGCACGTCTATATGTACACAGAGTGAGTGCAGCAGATGTGCAAAATCAGGGCAAGTTACTTTTTTGTGCGCTACAGTATGGACGTGTAGAGGGAGGTGGTTTTCAAGATGAAAATGGTTGTGTCTATGTCAGTTTTGGGATTGGTGTATTGAAGCAATCTGACAGCAGCGAGTTTGTGATGTAATCAGTTCCTTCAGGCATATAATGCATGTCGTCTAGGACCCCAATGCAGCCCTACTACCGGCACCGCTTGTCTGTCCGAGGTCACTGCACTGTGAAATCTTCTTTTCACCCTTTTAATCAATCAAACCTGATTATTAGGTCACTATTTATAATTACTACTGAATTACAGACGGCAATATGGCAACACATTCCCACTGTGGATAAAAGTACAGAGTCATCTAAACATTACACCTACAGGAAATCCAGAAATGAAGCATGTGGGCTAATGTTAACACCAGAGGAGGTTTGAGACTCTGCAGTGTAAATGATGAATCCTCAACATTTGGCAACCCTGCTTTGTCCCTAAATGCTTCCACTTTGGAACCACACCAGTTGTAGTCAACAATAAATTATTTAGGAGAGTAGGAATTTCACAAGGTCCCTTGTTGCCACAGTGCCATCTTATTACAGTACCAAGCTTGAATTGAAACAAATGTTAATTGAAGCAGACTGAATGGAAAGGTGCTTGATTTTACAGATCTATGGCAATGAGACTGAAAACACAAATTGCTATTGGTAAGAGGCGCATGGCCCAGTACTTTTGGGTGCAAATTTCTTTTCATTCCCTATACTACTATACCTTTTGCCACAAGAGTAACAAGTCTTTTCTTGATAAATAGAAGCATGAAACACAGGCTGAAATATTTCATGAAAAATCTGGACGAAAAGCATCGGAAAAATTTGAAGTTTTCAACTGTGCGGTTCATGTTTCATCTCCTGTTACTGCAGGTGTGCCATGAACGTAGCAGCTTATGCCTAGGTAAGCGAATCATATGTCTCTGCTGCGTTTCTTTTTCCCGCCACTGATGTGAAGATGTTGCTTAAATGTTAAACGGTAAAAGCATATTTAAAGCTTTGGGCAAAAATCTTTTCTTCTATGCCTAACTACAGAGATGAACAGCTAGCTTAATTAATCATCATTAATAATTAATTTAATTGTTAATCAAGTAAAGATATACAATATTTTCATTCAACAAATGCTATCTGCTGATAAAACTCTTGTCATATAGAACACCACAGTTTCCTTCAGCAACAGGTACTTCTAAGGTCTTTCTGACACAACAGCTAAACAAAATGCAAAACAATCCTGGTGCTGTGCTGTCAATGAAGAGTTCAAAGCAAATATCTGACAGCAGAGTGAGCAACTACAGATTTTTGGATTCGGACCAACCATTTTTCCAAATCTAGCCTGAAGCAACAAAGGAGTCAAATACACATGTATTTCCCTGAATCACTGAGTACCTGCAGGATGAGAATGAAGTAGTCGACCGGCTTGCCCCTTTGGTAGATGTAGTGATGGGACGACCGCTTATCGTTCTCATTGAACTTGATCTCCTGGATCACATCGGGGTGACGCAGGATTCGCAGCAGCACCTTGTCTGAAATCTGAGATGGGTTGAACAAGCTCACCTCTGCCGAAAGAGAAAAAGCAGAACAACAGATATTTTACACCATTTATTAGTGAAGACTAAAGGACACTTTTTTTTTTAAATGTAAGTACTCTTAAGTATATAGTCTGACCAAAACAGACCAAGGCATTTCTTAAAATAGTAAACATGAAATTAAACAGTGTTGGTTAATTTCATCCACATGTTAGGCCAACCTATAATTTACAGCCCAGCATAGACATAATGAAAACACAGGTTACTCAAGCTGAGTTTAAGGTGCATCATATGTTACGTTGTCAGTAGGTAGGCCACCAACTATTCAATTAAAGGATCCAGATGTACTTAAATGAAAATCAACAATTCTGAAACTGCAGACAAACAAACACAACATGACACTATTGTGTTCCCCATGTGTGGCTCTTAACGCCTGGTGACAGCTGTAAGGTTTAAAGATTATTCAGGTAAGGACGAATTGATAATTACATTTTGTTCATGGTCCAACAATCTAATAAGATTTGTTTTTGCGACACATTTTTGTCAAAGGATTGTTTTTAAAATAATGTTAGCGTTTGAATAGTTGAATTAACTACAATTGAAACACTTTTTCAATGAAAAATAAATAAAGTTTTATAAAAATAATACATTGTTTTGATAACTAAACACTTGGTTGAAGTGTTTGTTGAGCAAAAACGCTGCAGAGATGTTTAATGCATGGTGTCCTTGTTTGTTTGTTTTTTGGCATTCCTTTTTTTTTTTTTTAAGTAAATGAGAAAGAAGAAGAACTGTTGAAATATATTTGGTTTACATGGATTTCTCAACCGTCAGGCTGTTGCAATCAGAGCTCAGCTGTAAGTGCTTTGGTCCCCACCCAAACTGCAAACAAAGCCATGGTCACTGCACACTGAGAAGTGAGGCATATATTGCCAATGTTGGAATTCATCATCGGAAAGGCAAACAACCTCCTTTCACTATGGTTTACATAGTTAGTCAGAGTGTTCATCTGTATTGTTGCTGTTGCTGGGATTCAGTGTTTTCAATGATTTCGTAAATCAAAGGTGTAGCTTTTAAATTTTATGTCTACTATTAATGGCTTTTAATATCCTTAAAAAAAACCCAAAAAGCAAAGTCGTCAAGACTGGTGAAGCTAACAGTTATTAGTCCTTAAACCCACATGGAAGCATTTATGTGATAATGCACGTTCTACTGTCTGAAATGTGTCTGTCGACCATCAGTCATACTGCAGGAATGCAGCAGTGCACAAAGGCATTAGAGACATGTTCTCAAATCTGCTGGGAAAGAATCATTAATGTGAACATAACAAAGAAGGACCAAATAAACATGGAAACTTTAACACATTACAGAGATAAATGGAACAACAAAAAAACTATTCCTGTTTGATGAATCAAAAAAGCAACATTAGACCAAGATCCTCAGAAAGAAAACAGAAACTAAGTCAGCAGACACTGACGTTATGCCTCCAGACAAAGCAGACGTGAATACCACAGTGTGTGCCAGGGAAGGAAGTGCTATGTCATGCTAGCAGTGGCTAACTGCCAGATGCAGTGGCTAACTGCCCGATGCAGTTAGCCACTGCTTCATATCAGCTAACACACACTTAGCAGATAGATTCCTACGACTTCTCAAGAGATGTGTGTCATTGGTAGCATTACATGCAGCTGGCTAGAGTCTGTCCAGAGTTGATGGCAGGCACAGGCAGACATGTTGATCGGTCTTAAATAGATCCTAAAAGTAAATAAATCACTCATCACTGCATGCATAGACCTGTCTTTCCTGTCAGATGGTCACATGACAGAATCCTTCACTTACCGACATCCCAAAGGTGTTTTTTGTGCATTTCATATGATAAAATAAAATAAAGTTACATTATGATGGTTTTTTTGAAACACATCCATCAAAATGAAGGAAGCCTACCATAAATCTACTGAGTACACGTAACACTGCGATTACTGACAGTGAATGTGTGTCATTTCCTGTTTCCACACTTCCTTTCTCACCTGTAGCCAGGAAACGATGGGCAGCCAGCAGCAGCTGAGGAGAGATCTTCACCTTAGATTCACTTTCATGTTTAAAGGCAGAGAAGTCTCTCTTGTTTTTGTTGGGTGCCACCTTTTTCCTCGTGCGATTATCAGCTAAGAAGAGCAAAAAAAACAAAAACAAAAACAGAAGAAGCAACATTTATTAATGATCAAATCAATCACTTTTATTGTCACATCACATGTGCAGGTACACTGGTACAGTACATGCGACTGAAATTCTTGTGTGCAAGCTTCACATGCAACAGAGGTGTGCAAAAATACAATAACATAAGAACAGGCAAAGTATAAGAATGGGTAAATCTGAGAATTATATGAATAAATATATGTACAATATAAGAGTGTATGCGCATTACTGAATGTGTATACTAAATATGGATATCTACACGTGTGTGAAATTTACACTTCAGTTAACAGAAACCTGACATTTGTCAGGTAGTCATCCCAAAGCTTGAACAGTAATACTTCAAAGATTTAATAGTGTTACTTAAACTGAAAGTTAAGACAAATTTAGTATAAAGTGATAAAGGAAGACAAACAAAAGCAAACTCACTGTAAAGGTCGGATTCATCCAGAATTTCTGATTTGATAATCTCCTCTATGACGTCTTCCAGGGTGACCAACCCCAACACTTCGTAGAAAGGATCTCCTTCCCCCTCGTTGTTCACCTTCTGGACAATGGCCAGGTGGGATTTTCCTAAATCAGAGAATGAGCCTCATTAGTTGGATTATCAGAGGATTACTTTAACCATTCTGTAAGGCATTATAATTAAATCCACAAGAAGAAGGGTTGTAAGAATAGGGGTAAAACATCTTCCCTCATTAATCTTCTAAATGTCCTATTGTAACTGATTAAAAACTTATATGAATTGAATTATAGAGTAGCAGGAGAGTAGGAGTAGGAGAGTTGCAACAAAGAGGTGCATGGAGCTCTTTTACCTATGATGCAATGATTTAAAAATATTACAGACAGTATTAGTACCACACATGTTTTACTCGAAATTCCTTTCTCACTGTTTATGATCCCATGATGTTTGGTTTCTTCTGTAAACAGAGTAAAAAAAGATGAGGGAGGATAGTTTGATTTGGCACTCGATAAACTGCACCTTAAATGATGTCAGCACCGCACTGCTACACAAACAGCAGCAGGGAACGATATCAAATCAGAGATAGGTAATAAAGTGAAAATGTAGTTATGATGTCAACAATGTAGTTATGCCTTAGTAATGCTGACATAATAAATTCAGGTTAACAGCTAAATATTGTTTCAGCTCTAACCTCTAAAAAGAATATGCATGCTCACTGGTTCATTCATGCTCTTTTAAACGATCATGCAATATAAAATATCAATATTTTATTTTATTATTGTATTAATAGTTTTTTTTCAGTCATAGTTATTGAGGGTGAAAAAAAAAAACATATTTGCGACACAACGTCTAGCTTTATCTTGCAACATAAAAGCCCGTCAGAGTCTCTCTATCAAGACAATCATTTCGGAGTATTCCTATCTGATAACAACTTTTTTCTAACATGAACTCCTCGACCCACACCTTTTGCTTGCAACACAAATAGCCTGTTAATGTGTACAGGTCATTGCAGTTAAAGTTAGGTCCGAACTTTGGTCGTGAATGTTACTGTACAACATAAGAACACACGTACACAATGAGACATGTGTCCCCTGCTCAACTCCTAAAATGAAGAACCCGTCACAGTGCAGATGGTCACTGGTTGGCAGCAGTGCCAAACAAGCCTTGGGAAGCTCTGAATTATTCACCACTCTGACAGAGAAGCATCAGAGAATAGTAGCAATGGTCCCCAAGTGGGTAAATTCCTTGACTCTACCCAGAAGAACCAAAATTGGCAGGAAAAGTCTCAATGACTGACAAACTCGAGCCTTTATTCAAATAAAGGCATACAAACTCTGATGGCTGACAAAGTTTATTCTTTCCATTGATTGGTCAGTTCAATAAAATGAAGAGGGGGAGAATCAGAATCAGAATCAGAATCAGAAAGGGTTTATTGCCAGATGTTGAGCAGGTTTACAACATTAGGAAATTGCTGCGGTGCTTCAGTGCAAACATACTGTCATAAAAATATAAAAATAAGAATAAGAATTAAAAGTGCTAAGTGGATAGATATATACATGATATATACATGAGTGCAGGTGGTGATCAGTGCCAAACATGGAAGCTAATGCTACAAGACAAAAAGCACATAAATAAACCAATAACAGGGGTGGGGGAACTCCAGGCCTCGAGGGCCGGTGTCCTGCAGGTTTAAGATGTTTCCTTGATCCAACACAGCTGATTTAAATGGCTAAATTAGCTCCTCAACATGTCTAGAAGTTCTCCAGAGGCCTGATAATGAACTAATCATTTGACTCAGGTGTGCTGACCTAGCGTGAGATCTAAAACCCGCAGGACACTGGCCTTTGAAGCCTCGATTTGGCCAAGCCTGCAATAAATGTTTTTGAACAGCTAGAGTCCTGACTGTACCCAGCTGTGACGCAACAACCTGAAGAGGGCCCTCAAGACATCCCATAAATACAGATGAAACAATTTTGTTGGGGTGAATTGTCATAAATTTCTCCTTTCTGTTATGCTGGTAAAAAATAGATAAATAAAAGTTTTGATCAGAAGGTTGGTGGTTCGATCCCTGGCTCCTCCAGTCTGCATGTCAAGTATCCTTCGGTGTGGATGTGTGTGAATGTACTTAGAAAACACTATGCATAGAGAAAGTGCTTGTGAGAATGTGTGTGATTGGGTGAATGTGGCGTATTATGTAGAGTGCTTTGAGTACTCCGGGAGAGTAGAAAAGCGCTATATAAGAATCAGTCCATTTACCATTTAACTTACTTTTCCACCCCACATAACTTCAAATCCAATGTGTTTAATAACAACTGGATAGAGATGTGTTATGTCAAAGTTGGACTCAAATCCTTATTTTTCTTGCATATATAACATAGAGATTGACATGCAAATTGCTAGTTTGCAGTACTCCATCTCTCACACAGTCATACACACACAAGCCATTAAGAGATTAGATCTGAGCTGCTGGCCAACAACTCTGACAATTTAATTCCTAAATAAAAGGCGAGCTATCTTCACGGTCAATTAAATAACATTTAAATAACCATCTGCTACACTATAAATACAACATTTATTCACATTTTTCACATAACTTCAAGCTTTTAAGCTGTGATAAAGGATGAAACACTAGAAGAGGCTCTGAATGCGAGAAACCACACAGGTCCATCAGTGGTCTTTGTTGGGAAGCGTGTGATGAATGGAATTTACAAATGACCAGCGATTAAATGTAGACCAAAGGCACTGGGATTTTCCTCTCCGGGAGCATGTCCTTGCTGTTTGTCCTGCAAAATGGATGCTGCTGGCACACTGACACACACTTCACAGTCTCAGCTTTGACCTTGCCTGGTTTTAACTCACGATTAAAAATAAAGGAGCTTTGAAGAATGTGTCCCACTAGGCCGGCTTTACAGTAAAAGTCATTGATATGAAGACATGGCAAGTAGGGGTGGGTGGATGATGTCTGTCTACTTATTTTGGATGCTCATGAGGAAGCTCAACATTCAATTCAATCACAACAACAGTCGCCGCAATGCGCTTTATATTGTACAGTAGATTCTACAATAATAGATACAGAGAAAAACCCAACAATCATATGACCCCCTATGAGCAAGGACTTTGGCGACAGTGGGAAGGAAAAACTCCCTTTTAACAGGAAGAAACCTCCGGCAGAACCAGGCTCAGGGAGGGGCGGAGACCGGTTGGGGTGAGAGACGGAAGACATTGTTCAATGTCAGCTCACAGAAATTGCAAGCAGTTCTCATCTTGGCAGGATCTCATCTTGAGTCATCATTTATCTATCACAATATTTTATATGTTCCCTTTTGTGGGTTTCCCACGCAAATTCTTCCTGATTACATTTTCTCAACTGTATGGGAAAATGAAAGAAACAAAAAAGGGTTATGACTGAAAGAAAAAGAAGCCGTAAAACTTTGAGTTTGAGGTAATATGAGAGCAGCTTAACTAACTTCAAAAGTAGCTATCCTACCTACTTCAGCACTTCAGTTGTATCTTTTCTTTAGTAATTAACATTTTAGCCAACCTCTAATTAAAATAACAAACTCAGTAGTGTTTTATAGTTTTAAGAAACCTCAATAGAAAAGATAAGCTATTCGCTTTATTTTTAGCCCTGTATCAATTACTGGACTGTGCTTGAGTCGATCTGCATGATTTACAGTTCAGTATTATCCTTATCCATCCTTATCCATCCCCCCCCCCCTACATCAACTCTCCTCTGACTGGCTGCCCCTTGAAAACAAAAGATTTGAAGAGGTGATGGGCGGGGCTTCTGTGCTCACTCAGAGCTGCAGAGATCACCATATTATCTATAACTGTTCTGTGTGAAACTATCCCGAAATATGAGTGGAAAAAATGTTGGTAACAGAGTGGTTTGGGTATTTGAGAAGTATACATTCTTTAGCTGATTATTGCTCTTTCCACAGAAGATCACTGCAGCAATGAAAACAGAAGCACTGTAATGGAAAAAGATGCTCCGTGTGTGTGTGTGTGTGTGTGTGTGTGTGTGTGTGTGTGTGTGTGTGTGTGTGTGTGTGACCACACTGTATTGGCAAGTCAATATTTCAGAGGAAGTAGGACCCCAGGAGATACACTTAGCCCCAGTTACTGGAGAGTCTACAGATATTAACAGACACGAAAAACTTTGCACACAAGGAGGTTCATCCGAACACTGGCTGCTTAATGCATTCATCATCTGAGCTGTGTGAGCTGAGGCTACGGTTAAAAAAATAAACACACGTAGCTACTATCCGTACCATCTGTCTGCCCAGCTGATCTTCTTTTGAGATCTGTCACCGAAAGAAAAAAAAAAAAAAAAAAAAGGATAACAGAGCAGCATCCTCACCTCAGGCTCCCACAAAAACACTCAGGTCTCACTTATCAAATGGTGAATCAGAAATGGCAGCAGGGTGTTTCTAATAAAAATCCATCCCTCTGTCATTGTTTTACACAGAGACACTGTTACATTGAAGTGATAGTTGACACCTTAGGAGCTCCTTGACTTTGACAACTTAAAAACTTTAGACTTTGACTCCCCCCCCCCAAAAATGACTTAAATTATTTTATTTAGTAAAAGTGAAAATACAGCCAGAAATTTCTGCCGTGAAGCAATTGTTGTTGTGATTTGGTACTATACAAATTAAATTAAACTAAATTAAAATTGAATTGAATAAATAATACAACAACCATGGGAAAAACTGAGGTTAACTGAGTTTCTCATAGTCTTGGACATGTGAAAATGGGGTGGCAGAGAACAAACTCTGAATTCAGTGATTTACAAGTGACTAAACAGATTTAGCACTCAGCTATTACAGGTAACAAGGTAATTTCTTATGCAATATCGATAAAAAAAAGTGTCAGTACCCTTCAAATCTATGCAATATTTATTGGACAACTGTACAAATATATCAGCTACCAGCCCAGGTTGGTTTTTCTGGACGTTTTGTCTTTAACGTTGCTAATTTAGTGATTTACCCTACCCTGAGAAATCACAATGGTTAGCTTATAAAATGCAGTTAAGTAAATGTCTAGCCAGTGCTGTGTTGTGGAGACCTTGTTTGTGTGGTTAAAGTTAAGTGCTGGTGAGTGAATGTCA